GAGCACCCCCAGCTCTCCCAGCCTTCCCCCATGGCAGAGCTGCTCCATCCCTCTGACCATCCTGGTGCCTGCTCTGGACTCTTCAACTTCAGCTTTTCCCTTGTTGAGGTGGTTGGGTTCTGCTGGGTGGGCTCCTGTGGGAACTGGGGCTGGGAGAGTTCCCAGCTGGGACTTTGCTGGTGCTGCAGAAGCCCCAGCTCCCTTCTCCAGCCTGGCTTCCAGGAACACTCCTGGCTTTGGGACACCAGCAGCACCTCCTGCAAGGACACCTGTTGTTGACTCACCTATTGTAAATGGGACAGAATTCCTGGAAGCTGCTGCAGTCAGATCTGCAGTGCTGAGAGGTTTCTTGTTACTGAAGGGAGCAGTTTGTTGTGTGAGCAAACATTTCTCCAAACCACCTCCTGCTTTCTCTTCCTTGTTCACCACCTCAGGGCTGGGCTGGCCTCGCCCTTGGCTGAGAAATCTGCTTCAGGATACCCTGGTTTGAGGATGCAGGTCTGGAATCCGGGTGCCTGTCCTTTAGCTGCACCCCATCTTTTTGATTATATGAAAAATATATCTCAAAACACATGTCTGCTTTTGAAATACCACATTTCTCGTGGCATTATCCACCCACGGCTGTGGCACTGATAAGGAGAGCAGTGGATGGAACAACAACAGTGGGAAATCCTGCTGGGTTTTCATCAGCTTTCAGGAGGAATTTTTCAGTGGAAATCTTTTGTCTGGAAAACGCCAGCCCATTGTAATGGAAAGGGTCTATAGGAAGAGGTTTGTTTGGACAAATTTTCTGCTAAGTGTTTCTAGGGGGAGGAAAACCACATTGGAAATGTGCCAGACCTTCCCAATTCAGCAATTTCAAAATAACAGTTTGAACTTCCCTTATTCAAACCTCCCTTCAGAAATAACCATGAGAATGAAGAAATTTAATTTAGGAAATTATCAATTAATAAAATACTGAATTTGCACCAAGCAAAAGCGAGAAAGGCCTGTGTGGGACCAGGCAGGTGTTAGCGTCCAGCCAAAGCTGATTCTCTGTCTCCTCAAGGTTACATCCATCTCCCCCAGGGCAGACAGCCTTGTTCCAGAGCCCCTAATTCCCTTTTCCAGCTGCTGATGTGCCGGGAAACCAGCAGCACCACGGAGCCCAGCTGCCCCTCTCACTAAGCTGCTGCTTTGCCTTGTGCAGAACCTTCCCCCAGGGGCTGCACCACCTTTGGGACTTGCTGTAAAATTAAAAATACAATTAAAAAGCCATTTTGGGGCTGTTGGATCAGCGCAGAAGAGGGAGGCAGGACATTCCAGGGAAGGTGGGTTTCGTGGGAGAGGTGTGACGGTGCTGTGACCGTGGAGGGGACGGCCCCTGGACCTGATTTTAGACAGGTGGATTGAAGGACAGAGTGATGCTGTTGAGACTGAAGGATGGAGGATGGCATCTGGGAGCTGGAATTCTGGAATTCTGGGCAGTGCCTCTGGGATTCTCACTCCCTGGATCTTGGTGTGGTGCAGCCCAGCCAGGGAAGGGGCCTGACCCCCTCTGTGCCATTGCTGTCCCATAAAAGCCCCTCCGAGCAGTTTTAAAAGGGAAATCAGTGTTCTGGGTGGGCATTAAGGAGTGTCACGGGGTGGCCAAGGCGCTCAAAGCCCCTTGATGTGATCTTTGCTCTGATCCCAGGCACAAATCCCCCCTCTGCTGAAGGCAGCAGTGTTGGCCTCTAATGAAGAGAGAAAATTTCCAATCCCTGTGCTCTTATTTCTTAGAATTATACAGCTACAAACTGAATTGCTTTCTATATTCTATGGAATAAGATGATCTTTCCTTTCCAACACAAACCATTCTATGATTCTCTGCCTTTTAAAAATCCCATTATTACCAGCACAGTGGCTGTAACCCGAGGCAGCTTCTATGGCTTAATGATAAAACCTCAGAGTTGGAGACATATTATTTTATATTCCTTTGAATGTATTCCAGCTCCCAGCTACTACAGCTGTCAGCAAGGCAAGAGGGGCTTGACAATGCAGGGAAAAGCAACCTGTCATCCTTTGGAGCAGGAAACCATCTCCTTCATCCCACACCTCGACTCAGATGGGAAAGAGAAGTTAAAGAATAATTACCCCAAAGCAGCAGAATTATTACAGCAAGGACGAGACGTACTCTGCACGAGCCTTGCACATGGGCTTTGCATTGATATTAATGAGAGCAAAAAGTGAAAATAAAAACTATTTTTGAGGAAAACAATGTCCTGTACATTGAAACATTCCACCTCGCCTCTTATTTGACAAAAGTCACTTACTCCAAACGCCTCAGCAGAAACACTCTTTTTGTTAACCGGCAAACAAATCTCTGTATTCCAGCAGTGCCCAACAAGCCCCACACAGCTGCCAAAGCCGCGTTTTCCCCGCTGTGCCACCCCTGAGCTGCAGCTCCCAGCCTCTGCCCCGCTGCCTCCGGAGCCCCCCGTGAATCTGGACCCCCCAATGTCCCCATCCAGCCCCGGGGTGCGGAGCAGCTCACCTGGGAGCAGCAGGAGGAGGCCGAGCAGTGGACAGAGGGACGGGAGCAGCATCTCGGCGCTGGCCGAGCCTCTGGCCATCCCGGGAGGGACCGTGGGCAGCGAGTCCCCTCTGCCTGGGCTGGCTTGCACAGCTTCCTGCTAAAGAATAGGAGGAAACGGGCTCAATCCACAGGGGAACTGTGTTTTCAGCCCATTATGGCCGGGGAGGATGTGAGACATCGCTCACCGGCGGCATAGGAAACCTCTCGGAGGGATGCCCTGCACTGGGAATCAGCGGCTTCCTTACGGTGCTGGGAGTTTTTGGAAGGTGCTTTATGTGTGGTGTGATGTGACCCAGGTCCCATCCCCCCCACATCAGCCTCCCTGGGGTAAGAGGTGCTGGAGGAGCCTCCCTGCCACCTCAGAGGGGGTTTCTTACACATCCGTGAGGAATTTAGGAATAAGTGCTGCTTGTGGGGCCAGGGTAGCTCAGCAGCCGGGCCTGTCCTGTACCCTGTGCCTCCCTGGGCAGCTCCAGCGAGTCTGAGTGCTGGGACATGGCAGATTTGGGATGCCCCTCTTCAGGCAGCACCCTCAGGACACACAGCACATACTGGGCTTGGACCTACCCCATCCCCGGTTCCTGGAGAAGGGCAGGAACTGGAAAACTGGGCTGGTTCTGCCCCCATCCAGCCCGAGGGGTTCAACCATTTGGTTTCTTGGCCCTGACCTTGTTGTGCTGCCCCGTGCAGATCCCACAGTGTGAGCCCCAGTGGTTCTGGTTATCCTGTGCTGGATGTGACAGGGGGTTTGCAGGAGGAGAAGCATTTTTGTGTCTCCACCTAGGAAAGGTTCCTGTGTCCTTCTCAGGGGCTCTGTGTGGGTGTTCAGGATGCAAAGGCAGAGGATTCTGTCTGCTGGCCTGAGGGGCTGGTCCAGCCCCCTCCCACAGGCCCCAAAAACCACAGAGCCTCAGCCAAAGGCCGAGGAGATTCTCCTCCACTGCATGGAGAGCATTAAGGGTGTCCTATGCTGCCAGCAGAGTCCTTGTTTGCACTGCTGGCAGACAGCAGCAGCACTGGAGGGAATGATCCCCCGTGCATGGCACAGCTCCTCACATCCTGTGGGTCTCTTCTAACCCCTCCAACCCCCCAGCAAAACCACCAGGCCCAAGGCTGGTGGCCTCCACAGCAGCCTTGCTGGGACAAACCCCCTGCCAGCAGCCCCCCCATCCTTTTGTCCCTTGCACAGATGTGATGCTCAGAGATTATGCTGTAGATTAAGGTTTTACTGAATCCTGAAATGAGTGCAAATACCCAGAAGCTCACCCGCAGCTGAATCTCTTCTGGATGCTCGGCTGGATGGGAAAAAGCATTTCCCACTGTGTCCTCACCACGTGCAAGAAGGACAGAGCCCAGATATTCACCCCAGCCTGTCTGCTGAGAGCCTGCAGGTAAGAGCAGTGGTGTTTTGGGGTGGAAGGATGGGAAGATGCATTTTGTACTGGCTGAAACTCCGAGGGATCCATGTTTTCTGCTCTGCGATGTGCTCAAGGTTCACCCTTGGGGCAGGGGGATGACACGAGTGAGGGGAGGGATGTGCCAGCCCTGACCTGCCTCTGGCTCCTGCCTGTGACCCCCAGCAGCTCACACAATCCTTTAGGATAGAAAAGCCTCCAAAATCATTGAGTCCAACCACTGAACTGGAGGTCCAAAGCATCCAGAGCTCCCCATGGACTCACCCCACAGCCATGCTGGCAAACGGGCAAATTCTGCAGCAGTGGGACCCCTGGCAGGGACCATCATCCCCGGGGTGCCACCTCTGGGGACAGGACCCTCCCAGCCCGGAGCACAGCGCGGGGACACCGTGCCGGGCTGTGCCAACAGCTGACATGCCGAAGGGGATTTTTTACACCCATTCCTTCACCACATTGAGTTTTCACGCCCCGCCGGTGGCAGCAGGGAGGTTTCCTGCGGCCGAACGGGGGAGGGAGGGTGCTTCTCCCCGGACAAAAGAGCCTTGTCCCGCGGCGGGGACAGGAGGGTGGCAGCGCTGATGTGGCAGCGGGGACGGGAGCGGCGCTGCCCCGGGACGAGCGGGCGCTCCCCGCGTGTCCCGGGGAGCCCCGGCGGGGCCGGGCCGGGCCGTGACGTGGCAACTTCCGAGGTGAGCCCGGCTGCACCTTCACCGGAGATCCACGGCAGCCCGTGCTGCTCTCCCCGCCGGCTGCCGGAGATGATGGTGCCCAGGCAGCAGGGACAGCCAGGTATCCCGTGGGGCTGGCAGGGCTCTCCTTCCTTCCTCTCCCCTTGCCCCCTGCTCCCACCCCTGCTGGCTGCACGGGATCTTGGAGGGACAACAGGCGGGGTTGGGTCCCCCTGGGAGGTTCCCGTGGGGCTGGGGGTGGAGGGAGGAGGGCAAGGGGCTCCCCACAAGAGCCACGTGTAGTGTCCAAAGGTGCCCATGAGGCAGGGATTGCCTCGTCCCGCAAGCCCCAAACTGCCACACCAAAACTTCTCCTGCGCTGCCAGCCCAGGGAGGGGACGCTGACGGGATGGCCCCATTCCCTGGCAGCTGCACACGGCGGGCTCGAGGGCAGATGGGGACAGGGACGGGCTGGGCTCGGTGGTCACCGCCCGTGTCCCCCACCAGGTCACCCCGCTGAGCCATGAACGCCTCGGTGGCCGGCAGCCAGCTGAGACAGCCCGAGCCCCAGGACGTGGCCGCCTTCACTCCCGTCTCCATCGTCAAGAGCGTGAGCAAGAAATCGGACGCGCTGCCCGTGATCTCGGTGATCGTGGTGCTGTTCGTGCTGCTGGCCGTGTGCATCGTGCTGGCGGTGCATTACGGGCCGCAGCTGCGCACGGTGCAGGCCACGCTGCAGCAGGAGCCCATGGCCCCACACATGGACAGCGTGATCCTCACGGACTGGAGGCGCCTGGATGGCCACGGGAGGATGGACTCGGCTGCAGTGACCTGCCACTGCTCCTGCAACCACCACCTTCCCCACGGCACAGCTGAGCCCAATGTCATCGAGATCACCTACCTGTGACACGGCATGGCTGAGCCCAATGTCATCGAGATCACCTACCTGTGACACAGCCTGGCTGAGCCCAATGTCATCGAGATCACCTACCTGTGACACAGCCTGGCTGAGCCCAATGTCATCGAGATCACCTACCTGTGACACGGCCTGGCTGAGCCCAATGTCATCGAGATCACCTACCTGTGACACAGCCTGGCTGAGCCCAATGTCATCGAGATCACCTACCTGTGACACGGCCCGGCTGAGCTCAATGTCATCGAGATCACCTACCTGTGACACGGACCAGGGCCACCCGGGCAGGGCTCGAGGGACACGTCCCGCTGGAAAGGCTGCGATGGGATGTTCGTGTATCCCACACGCAGGATCTGCGCCTCCCCAGACCCGTGTCTGGCCCCAGGAATGCTCAGGAGGTTCAAGACCCATCTCCATCCCCCAGAAGTCCAGCCCAGGGGTGCCACTGTCCCCAGGCAGCAGCTGGGTCCCAGCCTGGGCTCTGGAGCTGGCTCAGCCTACTGGGGCAGCCTTAGCATCCCTTCTGGTTTTGCCTGCTCTGGTTTTACCTGTCCCACGCTGCCTGGGAGTGGCCAGCAGAGCTGCTTCGGTCCTTGCCTCATCTGGGGAGCTCTGGGGCAGGAGCTGGAAGTTGCATCATGTGGAATTGTTTTCCAGTGAAAGATGTTTCCACACTCAGGGTGTCCTCGTTACACTGTTTATATGAGAAGCTTCCAGGCGCTCTTTGCCTCATGGCACAGCCCCTTTTCCCACACTGGGGGGCTGGAACATGGTCCTGCCCCTGCCAGCCCCCCCAGTCCCCCGGGCAAACAGCCAGAGGAGAGGAGGGCAGAGGAAGCGGCTCCTGATTCAGTGTTGGGTGGAGCCAGTGACAGGGGACAACGTGTCCTGTCCCCCCCAGTATAGGTGGGTGAGAGAAGAGCAGTGACACAGCAGAGACAGGAGGTGATAATGGCACATCACAGCTGGCTGAACATCTGGAGGTGCTCAAGTGACTCTGGGCAGAGCCTGCAGCATCTCTGTGCAAAGGGATGGGGAGACCTGAGGTCACCCTCACTGTGGTCACCCTCACTGAGGTCACCCTCACCGTGGTCACCTCTCTGTCCCCATCCCTGACTGCTGTCCGAGGGAAGGAGCGATGGTGGCGTTGGCATCCACCATGCCACCACCACGGTGATGCTGAGGTGGCTCTGTCACCCTGGGGAGAACCTCACTGAGGCGGCACAGAGGGATCAGGAGAGGTGAAGCCTGAGCCCTGCAGGCTCCTGGGGGTGTCAGGGCACGGTTCCTGTTCAGCCCTGGGGTCTCTGCTGCTGGAAGCACCGGGATCTCTGCAGTGCCAGTTTCTCCTGGACCTCGGTGTCTGCAGTGCCTGGGGAGGGAGCAGCCTCTGAGATCCCCCCGAGGATTTATTCTGGGACGGCCCCAAAGTCAGGATACAGCTTCCATCTCTGCCACTCAGGAAAAGCCAGGTCTGTGTCTGCCCTCAGATCCCTGGCACAGATCCCCTGTGGGCACAGCTGGACAAGAGATGGCATTCCCCTGTTCCTCCAGGTGCTGGAGGTATTCCTGATCTGCCAGATGCTCCAGGATCCTTCCTCTCACTTATTTCCAGCCCTTCTCTTGCTTTAAAGCTGGACTTGCTGGAAACTTTTTGTCTCCACAACAAACATAATTTATATTACTTTTTGGGAGGGTTGTTTTCTGTTTTGAATTTGCTCCCATTTGTTTTCCAGGGCTGATAGGGCATTATCAGCTCTCCCACACTCACGTTAGAGGAGATAAGGGCTGTCATTTCCATTGAAAGTCGTGGAGTCCTGCTACCCTTTCCATGTCAAAAGAGGGCTTTGTTTGCAATGTCTACATCCCTAACAGCACTCCTGAGGAGATAATCACCTCTAGGGACTTCTAATTAAGAAATCCTCCCTAAGAGAGTGCTGAGGCCCTCACAGAGGGTGCCCAGAGCAGCTGGGGCTGCCCCTGGATCCCTGGCAGTGCCCAAGGCCAGGTTGGACAGGGCTTGGAGCAGCCTGGGACAGTGGGAGGTGTCCCTGCCATGGCAGGGGTGGCACTGGATGGGATTTAAGGTCCTTTCCAACCCTAACCATTCCATGATCTCTTTAAGTGACATCTGTGGGTTGTGGTCACCCCCACCAAGAGCTGGAGGACCATCACGAGATCTGCACTGTGACACCCAGAGAAGCTGCACCCTCCTCCTGGGGACATCAGCCGGTGTCACCTGCCCAGGCTGAGGCAGCAGAGCCGTCCCCAGCTTTGGTGGCTGTGTCACTCCTGCTCAGGGAGCAACTCCATCCAGCACAAAGCCTTTAGTTAGAGGAACAGGAGCTTTCCTGGCAGCTCCCTCTGAAGGACACCCACAGCAGGGAAACGTCATGTTTAGAGAGAAAATATTAAAACCGTCTAAATATTAATAAAGAGAAAGACAAAATGGGTAATTATTGCTGGCACTTATTGATTTGCAGCCGCTGGGGACTCGTAAAGGTGTGATTGATGTCCCAGTGTGCCGGGGCTGGATCCATCACTTACCCTGTGCAGCACAGGAGCCCACCCCGGGTTGTTGTTCAGGTGTTTTGGGTTGTCACACTAAAATCAAATCAAAGTGGCAGTGGAAGGTGGTGCTGCTGCGTGCTCCCTGCCCCCACCCTGTCAGCAGCTCTGCACCCTGGGAACATCCAGCTCTGATGCCCCAGCCTTGGGGAGCTCTTCCATGTGTTTCATTTGCAAACAGAAATTTAGATACAAGCTTTTGGAGCACAGGAAAGAAATTACTGTAAGACTTAGAATAGCAAATTGAATCATACAAGCGAGTGACAATATGCTGCCAGCTTTCTCCTCCAGAAGGACATCAAGGGTTAGATCTCAACTCATTGCTTTCTCCCACACAATAAAATATCATTTTTACAGCTTCTCCTCATTTCTCTTTGGCCAGCGCTCCCTCTCTCTGCTCACAGAATTGCTTTTTGTAGCACCGGGCTTTGTAAAACAGGCAGGGTCCTGGAGCAGCAGAGCCGTGCATGAAATTACCATAACATTATTCCTGTCTATTCAAACACCCAGCCTGGCCCAATTTACTTCACTTACGAATTTCTTCCCTCCTTAATAATAACCCTTTTATGAGCACGGAGCAACAATAACTCTCCTTATCGTCCCCTCTGTGCAGGGCAGCTCCTGGAACCGGGCAGGCAGGAGCTGCTTTGCTCAAAACCAGGTTTTTGCCTGGGGAAGCTTTCAGGAGCTGCTACATCAACAATTAACTGTGTCCTCATCAGGGATCGCCTGCACCCCCTTTTATTTCCCCCCTAATTAAGGTGTTGCCCTGCAGAAGGGAAGGAACCAGAGGAGGGTTTAGTGGGGGGCACAGCGGGGTTTGGGGGAGACCCTGCTTGTGATGCTGCAGAGTTGCCTAAAATCGTGTAAAACCCAGGGAAACGCCCTATAATGGTGTAAAAGCGAGGGAAACACCCCGAAACTGTGCAAAACCGGAGGAAACACACTAAAATCGTGTGGAAGCGAGGGAAGCACCCGAAAGCCGCGCTAAAAGGAGGGTGGTACCCAGAGCAGCCGCTGAGGATGGAGGGGACGCAGCTGCAGCATCGCCCTCCCTGCGGGGCTGGGGGCGGCGCAGCCCCTCTGTGGGGAGAGTTTGGGGGGCTCAGCACCCCCAGCTGTCGGAATCTGTGGGTATTGGTGATTCCGAGATTGTAGAAAGTCTCTGTCTTTCTGCCCCGCTGCCAAAGCAGAAGCCATAATTGGTCTGTGCTGGTTTCAAGGTTGTTTATTCTGTTTATCTCTAACATGTTCTGCTGCCCTGCCGCAGCTCTGTCCTGCAGGGCAGCGTGTGGGGCTCTGCCCTCAGTGGGATGGTACAAACATTAAATACCACAAACTACCTGTGCTGGATTTACAATAACGTGCCAATATCTGTCACCTACGTTGGACAGTGTGTCCCCAGCCTGAACCAACAGAAAAATGCCAACACCGCAGTGAAACTTCGAGGGCATGAAGAAGGAGAAAAAGGACAAGACACACCCAATTTCCTCCATCTTCTCCCCTCTGAACCCCTTATCTAGAATCCTAAAATTTTACTTTTGCACCCGTGTCACACTTAATTATTACTGATATCAAACACTCAGAGCTGGTAATTCATCCTGTAAGATTGAAAACTCTTTTCCATGGACAGAGATCACAGACAGTGTCTCTGGGGGCTCTGTCCAGGGGGGTTCCTGACCCCTGCCAGGGTCCCAGACCTGCCAGGGCAGCAGAGGGATGCTCTGGATTCCCACCCCCAGCCCCTCGGGCGGTGCCGGGGCCAGCCGGAGCCCAGCGCGGAGCAGCAGTGGGCTCTCGTGGTGGAGGGACCCAACTGCAGGGACACCCGGGTGGCTGGGCATGGTGGCACGGCATGGGCAGCCCGGGCTGGAGCCCAACCTGCAGCCGGTGCCACCCCGAGGAAAGGTCCCTCCACTCTTGCAGAGCTGGTGTGAGAGGGGGAATCCTCCTCCTGAGAACCTCCCAGATCCCTGAAGGCAGCTGAGGATGGGGAAGGTTCTGGGCTCCCTTGTGCAGCTGCACCTCACATGCCTCATGCTCAGGGAGGGATTGCTGATCCACTGAGAAGGGAGCGGTGCTTCTAGAGGGGAAAAGGCTGTCCTTGAAGGGCTGAAAATGCATAGAATCACAACAGAATTCATAGCTGGAAGGGGCCCACAAGGATCATCCTGTCCAGCTCCTGGCCCTGCACAGACACCCCAACAATCCAACCCTGGGCATCCCCGGCAGCAGTGCCCAAACCCTCCTGGAGCTCTGGAGGCTTTGGGCACTGGAAAGGGATTCAAGGTCTGCCTGGAGCCTCCTCTTGTCCAACATCCCCAGCTCTCAGCCTGTCTTCATCATAGAAAATTATTAGACGTGAAAAAGCCTCTTCACTCTCATTTCAAGCTGCCCTCTGCTCCTGCTGTGTTATGGCACAGCTCCTGGTCCCAGGCTAACACCGTGTCAGCCCAAAATGACGAAGTTTGAAGATCTCCAGCTGTGCAGTGGAGCTCGAAATAACCTGGTGGTGCTGCTCTCTGCCAGGTGATGGACAGGGAGAGTGGTGCCTCCAGCACAGCTCTGCACCCCTGGGAGCTCAGGGTGTGCCCGTGTCCTGCTCTGGAGCCTGGAGAGCAGCCGAGCTGCAGAGGAGCCAGGTTTGCACTCCTGAAAATGGCATTTCCAGCTGCTCTGGGCACGGACAGCATCGGGCAGGAGCTGAAGGAAACATTGCACACATTGCTGTTAAGGATTCCTGAGCTTTAAATGAAAGGGTTCAGGTGCAGTCTAAACCTTAGGGGGGGAATTTTGTGTCTGCAGCCACCACAGTGTCCATGGAGGTCCTGAAGCACGTCGGGAGCCTGTCGGGGTGTGAACAGGAAACAGGAGGAAACATGTTTTGTTTTTAGCACCAGATCTCATTTCCCTGCCTGTGCTTCTGGCAAGTCTCAGCTCAATCCCGTTTTTCTTTCCTATTTTCTTGCAGCTTTACTCTGTCCATCTCCCTCCACGGCACTGATTTGCAGCTCAGCCATGCTTTTGCAGCATCCTCCTGCCAGCTGGGAATGTTCTGATGGCTGAGGGTCACAGGCCTGGTCTGTAGGGATTTATTCCTGGAGAATCATCAATAATTCATGCAGGAGCTCCTCCAGCTCCTCCTGGGCAGGCCAGACCTGTCACCAGTGTTGGGATCTGGGCAGCCAGACTGGGGACAGTGCTCAGGGGGCTCACAACCCCGTGACAGTGACTTTTCCTCCCAGCCTTTCCCTGAACAAACTGGTACTTAAAATCCCACCTGGTCCCTGTCTTTGGGAAGGAAAATGAGTGGTTTGGAGGTTTGGAATTTGGAGGTTTGGAGGGGTGGGGATGGCAGCAAGTGGGGTCTGGCAGGCAGGTGCTGGAGTCAGGGGGAATTCACCTGCTGTGGTGTCAGCGATGGGTGAAACACGGGGCACTCGGGAGAGTGGCTTGTTCTGCAGTGGGATTGGGAGGTGATGGGGGAAGGAAACCCCACGCAGGGCTCCCCGAGGAACCCCACAATCCTGGGCTGTCATATTTATTTCCTTTCCCTTGTGATGTTCCAGCGCGGTTCTTCTGTTCTGCTCCATTCCTGGAAAGGAAAAGCATTAAAAAAACGCGAGGCGGAGGGATAACAGTCCCAGCAGAAGGAAGTGGCCTTCCCACCTCCCCTCCCAAAATCGGGCACGGGCTGCGAGACATCCGCTTCTCCACCCGGAGCTCCGCGGGCAGCGGGAGCGATCGGGAGCGAGCGGGATCATCCCTCCG